CCGGTACCCGATCCACTCCTGGGGCATGCTCTCTTTCGTGTCGCTACGAGGCATGGTCTCTTATGTGTAAAAGGTACAGCCGAAAATTTTCGGGAAATTTTCACCTATCACCTAGCATAATGGGGTCTGTTGTTGATCTGGCAACATTAAGTTATTCCTAATCGCAAGCTCCCGTTGAAGCTAACTTTCCGCTAAGCTCTATCTTTCTTAGTTTGGTTGGGCGCAATGGCCATTGCAGTCGACGCACCCGAAAACTCCAATAAACAGCAACTTCCTTAGCTTGGAAATGGCAGGGGCTGCATCGCCCCCCCCCCCCCCCCCCCCCAACAGTACGCGTCATGAAAAGCGACAAATCAGGACGAGGGATGAAGCCGGTGGCAACCAAACCTGCTCGGCTCCAGGTGGATACTCATAAATCCAGGCGGGGCCCGGTAGGTACGTGATATCAGGCAAAGATGTGTTTTTAGTGCAGTTGCTGATCCCATCACGAATAGTAGTGTCCTACTGCGGTCCTCAGCAAAAAGAAGGACTTCACCGACGCAATGCATCATGTTCTGAGCAGACCCGTACTTTGGTCAGTCCCACGTGAATTTAATCGGTTCGGTTCGGTTCGGTTTAGTCCCGGTATAAAAACGAGCCGCGCGAGGAATTCGGGCAAGACGTTCCTTTCAAAAATGTGATTACAATGAACCTTTCACACGCATAAAGCTGTTTTGTTGATAGCACTCTTTTTTCGATCTGTCTGTCGGTCGATAAGGCATATGCTAACTCCGGAATAAACGTTCATCCCATTGGCTCGAAATATCTGCTAGGCTGAAGTTACAGATAACTAAGACATGACTAAGAAGCCAATTTCGGTCAAACTTAGCTGCGTCACTCTTTCAAATGCGTCTCAGCACAACTGTAGGGAGGTTGAAAGTACCTGTGATGTTGCTCTGACTAGATCTTGAATTTAACGAAGGGCTCGCTAGCTCGGAGCCATATTCAACAATTACATGTCTCTACTTCAGCCATTTTAGACTGGTTCGACCCGATGTGGGTAGTGAAAAGAGAACTTGCATCGCTGCTGGTTGTGTTTCTAAGGCCGGGTCTGATTTGGTAGTGCATAGGTACATTATGTGCATCGATGCTGGTTATGTTCTAAGGCGGAGTCAGATTTGATAGTGCATAGGTACATTATGTTACAAACCAAGTCATTCCGGTCAGACTGGAGTGCCCAAGTTTTGCTTGATTTTTTGGTGGCGTGAGTAGCGGGAAGTGGATGTAGATGTATTAACAAGTGCGACGGTTATTGATATTTAGTATTGGTCGGGACTTCAGAGTGGATGCAAGTTGTTTGCACTAGCGTTTTTATGGTCCTCAGTGATTCCTTGCTTCTGATTTTGTTCGTTCCTACATATTCATCACGCATGGGCTGGTGGTCAGCAATACCCTCCCCTGTCCAAGGCGGCGCATAGAACCGTGCAATTTGTCCTCGTCTTGGTATGTGGGTTGATGCGCCCTAGTGTTTCTGGCTTTTGGGCAGTGACGTCTGTTGAGGGGCGCTGCACGACCTCCGCTGCCGGCGCTGACAGTGGGCGGTAGCTGACCACTCCGCCGATCGCGGGTGGTGAGGTGACACGGTTACAGAGTGGTGCTGCGTGAATTAACGTAGCCCTCAACTCTTATACACGCACGGAACACATTAACCACATTTTATGCTCAAATTAACTAACGAACACGCGTGTGTATTTTTCATGTTGCTACGTTGTATGGTTTTGTATATATTCGCATGTAAAACTGAAAAAGTACGATGCGTTCAGGGATTATGGAATGTTGACCCGGTATAAGTGCGGTCAGTTATTGACAGTAGAATCAGACGTATAACCAATTGCGAGATTTCGTTCACGACAACCCACTGTTTTGCTTTCCGAGAAGCTCTATCATTCTTGGTTCGGAATCCGCAGGGTGTCTCATCGTTCCTGCCACCCTATCCGTTCGCATTTTGGGGAACTTCGAATCCGGGCGTGGTTTAATGCTCGTAGGAATTTGGCCAGATAGCCTGGCCAGAAAGAGCTCCCCGCTGGAACTTTTGCAAATGAAACTAAGGAAGCAACGAAAGCGGCAAGTGCAAGATGATAAAATTAGCATCGTAAATTACTGCGGTGAGAAGTAATGATTAACAAATTATGCAAACAAAGTATTATGCTAGGAGTTCACGAAAAGTAGTGGTTGCGAAACATCACGACTGACGGGCCGTTAATACAGCAGCATTCAAGTGGCACAATCAAGGTTTGGCTCGGCTTATGCGCCGCGTTAGGCGATGAAGTAAGCTGGTCAAATCGTAGAGCATGCTGAGACGCTGGCCATCAATGGCCTAAGCCAGCTGGTTGGCAGCAGGTTGATTGATGTTATCAATACTGATTTGTACTGAGGATTTTCCGGGCTTGATCCGGTGCAAACCAGTCGGCACCGTCAGCTTTTGGGCGGCTGAGAGAGCTCATCGTTGGTGGTTCCCCAGTGATATTGCACGGCGCGTATTGCCTGGAGCCATCAGCTGGGAAGAAGTACGAAAAACAAGCCAGTTGACCGTGCTATATGTGACAGAGAAGGCCTGAGTGGTGACACGACCGTGCGGTACCGGAAGTGTATTGGTTGGGCTGTGCGTCTGGGAGACCGGAAGTTTGATTCGGAGAGTTCGATTCCCCGCGGTGCCCGCCCTTCCTGCCAGGGTGAGAGGCTGGGGTTGTCAGAGCGCTGGGCCTCAGCCTAGACGCCTCAGTACTTGAAGGCGTCATAAAGCTCCAGTGGCGCGATGGGATGGGATGGGATGAACGGCGGCAGGTAGAAGTTTGTCGGGGTTCGAGCCTGGGGCCCGACAAGCTCATCTCTCCCCAGATGTGTATCCCAATGACTTTTGCCCTTTGGTTTTGGCGGATGGCCTTTTTAAAAATTTCGGATCATATACCGAATAGCCATTTATTTCAGCAGCAGTGGTTATCAACTGATATCCAGCTAGGGTAAGCTTTGTGTGATATCCAACTCTGTGGTCATTTTTCCTACACTCTAGCACAAAGAGTGGAAAGACCCAAAGCAGCATGGTGGACGGGGGGGGGGGGGGGGCGAAATCAACATTGTGGACCATGGGACATAGGGGGGCATTGGTCATGAGACAATCGGGGGCATTCCATCAGAGGAAAATGCAAATAGACATTCCTGGCGCCAGGTGGTGCTAATTTTACCAGGTTGTGATAACAGAGGTGTTAATCACACCATTCATTAGTAGTGTTCCGTGCGTGAATGCATTTTTAGGGACTTAAAACTTACAGCTCATTGGGCGTGTGAAGTGCATTTTGTTACATGCGGCATGCATCTGCATGCCATGATGGGGACCGGCTCCGGGGCTGGGGATCCCCGCGATGCGTCACCGATCGCGGCCGGCCCTGGCCCTGTTGTTGGCGGGTGCTATCCGCGCCTCGGGCGGCCGCCGCGTCCCCGCTGGTGTCCCGCCGCCGGGACTTCCAGCGGCATGCGTCAGCCGCACGCTCCCTCTGTGAAGTCCCGCCCCCCACGCCGCCACGCTATATCGGCCAGCGGCGGCGGCGGCCGCGCATTGGGCCGGCAGTACTCGAGCGGCGGGCGCGAGCGGCGGCACGCGGGAGACAGAGTGGTGACGGGCAGAGCGAGCAGAGCGTGCGGACGGCGGCCGACCGGTGACAGGTGGGTGCGGGGGAGAGCGGCGGCTGGTGGGAAGTGACTCGCTCCCCAGGACCAGGCGGCGTCGGCGTTCAGAGAAACTAGCCGTGGGACCAGGTGGACGCCGTGTAAACGGAACGCGCTGAGAAAGGCGGCCACGGTCCAAGCCGCGGCTGTTGTTACTTATTCTGAAATAGCGGGACGCGCCGGCGTCGTGTGTAGATAGCTGGTGGCCGTGACGAACGGCTGATCCGGCTCGCAGAGCACGATACGTCGTGGGTTGTCCTGATCGCTTTGGCTCATTATGCACGCATTGCTCACACATTCCACAAAAATTACATCATCTTTGTTCGGTGCATGGCTGCCGTGTCGGATGTCTCGGCAGCACTCAGTTATACTTGCCTGCGCACGGTGAGGCTGCTGAGAGCGGACGCGTCGCCGTCACCCCGTCCTTCTCGCTGGCGGTCATCGCCCGGCGGCACTGTCGAGACGAGCTCCGTCACCGGACGTATCGGGCCGCGTCCGGCGCTTGCGCGGTCAAGGTCACGCCGCCGCCTCCCGTGAAATGGCCGCCGGCCGGCCGGGGGCTCTCCGCGGGCTGCCGACTCGTCCTCGCCGGCTGCCGTCGGCCGCGCGCAGGCGGCGGCTCTGTCGAGCGTGATGTGCGTTAAGCTGCAGAAGCCACTGCGCGCGTGTGCGCGTGTGTTTGTACCGGCATGCATCGGGACGAGGACGCCCTCGGACCTCGTGGGCGAAGGTCTTAGGTGCGGACGGAGCGCCGGGGCGCCGCCCGCCAGGGAGTGCCGTGGCCCGTTCGGGTGTGCCGGCGCTGCGGCGGCGGAGCGGGTGGCCCAGAGAGGACTAACGGCCCCGGCCGGCCGCGGCGCCCGGCAGCCCGCGCCCAGCTGCGGCACCGGCCGACGCGGTCGGGCTGCACCCGTTCGGGTCCGACCGGGCGGCTTTGGGCCGCCGCCACCGCCGCCGCCCCTGCTGACTCGGCAGGGCGGACGAGGCTTGGCTTGAGCGCGTCTGTTTACGCGCGGCGTCCGCGCCGGTGTTTGCGGGAGACGGAGTAATCACCGCTGGGGGAGGTGGCACGGTGGCAGAATTGTGAACAGGGCTGGGTGAGTCAGGTGCGACGCGCCGCACGTCTCTGAGCTCAGCCCTGACGCCCGCCCCACGGCCGACGGCCCGTGCCCGCCGCGGCGCCTATCCTGCCGCTCGCCGTCGGTGGTCCGGGCCAGGCCGGTATTCCGGCCGCTCCAGTATCGACTGCGTGCGCCCGCCGGCCGCCGCGCCGCTGACCGCTCCTCGCCCCGTTCCAGGAAGTGCTCGACGAGTCGGACGGCTGCGGCGGCAAGTTCTCCGTGGTGGTCGTCTCCAAGCAGTTTGAGGGCAAGCCACTGCTGGCGCGCCACAGGTGAGAGCCGTGCCCGGCTGAGTGGCGGTGCGGCTGGCGCGGGCGGGGGTGGCGCCGTCTCCGGGCCCCACAACGCTGGCCGACGCTGGCAAGCGCTCTGGCCGCTTATGCCTTGTAGGCTGCGCTGTCGTTTGAATGAGGCGATAACGCGACTTTGATCCGGGTTGAAGTTTGCACGGTGGGTGGAGGCCATTGGCATCCGATATTGTCCCAGAGGACTCGATGGACGTGTGATGTCGCCCGGCGATATGCTCCGCGCGCGACTGCAGGTGTTTACCCCGGCGCCGGCTGCGCTCAAGGTCAGCGGCAGCATTCCGGGGCGGGCTCGCGCGGCCCGGTCGTCAGCGCGCCGGGCCGGGGCCGAGCTCGCTGTGCGGTGTACCAAGCCGTCCCAGACCGGGGTCGTGACCCGTCGGGACCGGCGGGCATGAGGCCGGCCGCCTGGGCGCCCGGTGGCTGCTGTCCCCAGCCGCGCGGGTCGGCCCGACTCCGTCCCACCGACTGACGCCCTCCCGACGCGGTGCTGCCGCGGTGTCACAGGAATGCGCATCTCAGCGGTCCCACACCTGAGGCGTGCAGTCGTGCTCGCGTGCGACGTCACTGGTAACTAACTCGGGACAGTTTGCCAATGACAAGCGTGTCTTCGACTGGGCAGCCGCCGTACACCGCCTGAGAGCGGCCTCCGCCCGCGGCCCGCCGCTGCCGACGTGCCGTGCGGCGCGCCCCCGTGAGCACGGACCGTGTCCTCCGGACGATTTCGTCCCTCCAGCCGGCGCGCCGCGCCCGGTTCCGGGGTTGCGGACGTGTCGGTGCCGGCGCCGGGCTCCTGAGGCCGCCGGCTCCGCAGATAGCGTGCCGACACCGCCGGACGTCCGGACCGGAACTGGCGTCGCGACCGCACCAACGACGGCGCACGAGACGCGGCGCGCCGGCTCCTCTCGCGTCTGCTGTACGCTCGACGGAGGCGATCTGTCATTGCGTCATTCACTCGCTGTCGGCGTCTCGCCGGGCGCGTCTCAAGCCGTCCGTCCGTCCATCCGTGTTGCGACGATCTCGTTTTGCCGTTGCTTTTTGTGTTGCGCCGCCGGCCCGGCGCCGGTGTCCGACGCGTCAGCCGCTGGGTCGTTGTCATGGGGAGGGGGCGTAGCACGTCGATACCGCGGCCCGGTGCCGGCGGTGGTCACGGACGACCGTGGCCGCCGGCGCCGGGCGGTGCCGTCGCCCCCGGGCCGGGCGGTCCCGGGGCGCCGGCGTACAGGGCGGCAGCGGGGCGGCGGCGGCGACTTTGATCGCACCAGCCGCGCTCGCAGCGAATGTTAATGGACGACGGCCGCTGGGCCCCGGCCAGACAGTCCCCGGAGGAGGCGGAGGTTGCAGCTGGTGACATCACGTTAGCGATAAGCTGTCAATCGAGCGGGCGCACTCGGTTGCCTGGCGCCATGACGTAATGGTAACGGTGCGCGGCTGACAGGTCGAAGCAGCTTGTCGGCGGTTTGAAGCGCCGCCGTTTGCGGCCTCGCCGCGGTGGAGCGGCGCTGCGCACCGTGGTCAGTTGCGTGAGAATCGCGCTCGTCGGCCGTGGGGATCACCGTAGGGGACGTACGGGCTGTCATAGGTGGGGGGCGTCCGTGGTCAGAGGGGACCGTCTCTGCTGGCCGTGCCCGGTCTGTCGACATCGGCGGCGCGTGTCGCCCGTCCAGCTCTGGACGGCGTCGGAGTGTGGACTGGCGCGGTCATCGCCAGAGAAAGTGGCGTCGCCGACCGCGGCGACCGGGCCGCCGCCGCCGGCTGCGGGACGGCTGCGGGCAGCCGGTCCTCCCGCCCTGACCACGGCGGGGCTGGCGCGCGGCCGCCGCCGGCTGACCGTACAGTCTGTGCCTTGGGGGCGGCGTTTTGGGGAGGGATGGGAGGATCGGGACCCGGTCGACGGGACCGTCTTGTCCATGACGATCCTTGTGTAAGGCTCCTGGCTGCAGCTACTGCGCTCTGCATGGCTATCTGTCAGGTGCTGCCGGTGAGAACGCGTCTCACGCAAGACGCGCCATTCGCTGTCAAGCGCGGGAACGTCTTGGCTCAACCTAACCTTTGCCGAGTACGCACTCCGTGTACTGTGATTGTCTCAGGCTGGTAAGCAGCGCTGCGGTATGATGCATTCCCCTAATTAAACAATCGTCGACTCCTAAGGCGCGCCCACTGCGTATGTTCTCTCGCCGGCGGCGGCGCGTGACCCGGATTGGCCGGCCGCCCCATCCCTTTCTATCTGCCGCGTGAGTCGGCGGCGAGCCGGCGCATCCGGCCTTGCGCCGGCCGCTGTTGCCGTTCTCTCTCTCTCCCTCTCCCTCTCCCTCTCCCTCTCCCTCTCCCTTCGGCGGCCGTGCGCCGTCTGACGGCCCGGGGCTATAATTAGCCCTGGGAACGACGCTTACCGGCGTCGCCAGTGGCTGCTGTCTCCGCGCACTGGTGTGGAGCGGCACTTCACCTCCCCGCGTGAACACTTCACCCGGTGGTGTGAACGCTGCGGCACGTCACCCGGTGGTGACGCTGCCGGCTCCCCCGGTGGCTGGCGGCTGCCGTGCTCGTTTGTTCGAGAGCATTCGAGATGTATTCGTTTGAGAGGAAGATCAGCTAAAATGCAGCACCGTGCATGCCTTATAGGAGGCCTGTGTGTCCTGCCGAACGGCTCCTCTCTGCCGCTGCCCGTCCCTCGAACCTATCCCAACAACAGCCCTGCCGCTGTTTATTCGAGCTCGGCTGGCGGCGTACACGGTTCGACGGGTCGCGCTGATCGCCCGCCCTCTGGGCCGTATCAGCCACTCCCTCCCCCGTCCCCCTTCGTTGCCGCCTCGCCGGCGCCGGCGCCGGGCCCGCGTGAGGCTGCACTATCGGGCCGGGCCCGTCCGCCGCCGCCGCCGCCGCCCGCCGCCGCCGACCGCCGCCGCCGTCGCCGCCCGGGCGCGTCTGCGGCTGAGTCGGCCACGGCCAGGGCCGGCGATAGGGGTGCAACCGAGTGGCGTAGGCTCCGGCGGAGACGCTGAGGTGTGGCGGTCCGGCGGCGAGCGGCCGGTGGTGGAGAGCGCCGGCTGCCGCCGCCGCACTGGCTCCACGGTAGCTGACGAACTGTCGATATTGGTGAGAACGTGCCGACATTGGGTCGGGTACTTTCACATCTGACGCAAGCATTAGCATGCCGGGCCGCAGGGCGGCGGCGGACCGTGGCGCGCCGCCGTGTGTGGCGGCTGCAGGGCCTCGCGCCGTCCCTTGGGCCGCCCGCGCTAACGAGCCCAGACTGATCGCCGCCGGTCACGTGATGTGGCCCTGACCGTGGTGAGGGGTGGGTGTGCCCGGACCGTGCAAGGCGGAGGTGGGACTCCCCGGTGGTGGGCTGACTGGCGGCGTGAGTCACGGCCGACAGCTGTGCGTACTCCACACCCGACGCTTCTCTCTCCGATCGCCCCGCAGGCTCGTCAACTCACTACTGAGCAAAGAGCTGAAGGAGATCCACGCGTTCTCGCAGAAGACACTGACGCCGGATCAGTGGGAGCAGCGGCGGCAGCAGCAGGAGAAGCAGTAGGTAGCAGCAGCGGCAGCGACAGCAGTGCCATGGCGGACGCCAGGAAGCCGGTGCTGCACGTCTCGGCGCCGGGCAAGATCATCCTGTTCGGCGAACACTCCGTCGTGTACAAACGGCTGGCGATCGCCGTGTCGGTGGGCCTGCGCACCAAACTGAACCTCTACCAGACGGACGGCGAGGTCAGCCTGGATCTGCCCGACATCGGCCTGCGGCGCAGCTGGCCCGTCGCCCAGGTGCGCGCCTGGATGGCCGAGCTGGTGCAGAACGACTGGCGCGTGCCTACCTCGCCGAGCCGCGAACTGAAGCAGCGCCTGCTGCAGGCCGTGCACCGCCACGTGCCCGACCTGAGCCAGCAGCACGCGCTGGCTCTCGTCTCCTTCTTCTACCTGTACTGCAGCCTGTGCCCCAGCTTCCCGGGCGTGCACGTGGAGGTGCGCTCGGAGCTGCCGACCGGCGCCGGCCTGGGCAGCTCGGCCGCGTACGGCGTGAGCCTGGTCACGGCGCTGCTCTACCGCTACCACCAGGTGGCGCCGTCGGCGCACGAGCGGCTCACGCTGCACACGGGCGAGGAGGTGCGCCCGGACGCCGTCACGCGCGAGCTCATCTCTGGCTGGGCGTACACCAGCGACCAGATCATCCACGGCGACGCCAGCGGCATCGACAACGCCATCTGCGCGCACGGCGGCGCGCTGACCTTCCGTGCCAGCGAGATTCGGCCGCTGCAGGATACTCAGCTGATTCAGGTCGGTGGAGACGCCGTGGTGTGGGCGCGCGCGCTCCGGAGGTACGATCGCGCCCCCTACCATACGCTCGCACTCGGTTGGAGAGTCGTGCGAGTGGCGCGCCCACGCCGGGCCAAACATATGCACGGGAAATGCGTGCAAAGCCAGGTCATTGGGGGACCCTCACATGCCTCGCGCAGGTGGTAACGTTTGAAATGATGTATCCCCGCACCCAGTCCCTCCACGCTGACAGAACCTGAATTCGCGCCGCTCTTGACAGTGCTGCACGGGCGTTCGGCTACTGGCCCGGATCAGGCACACACGATACAGATGCGCGCACCGCCATACTCCAATCATCTAGGCAAACGAATGACCCCACGGCGCAGTCACTGACGGGCACCTGTCCGATACTCGGTTGTCGGGCACGGTGTACGAAATCGCGCTGCGAAAACGAAATGCGCACCCAGCCTGATTAAGTCGTGCAGACTTGCTTGAATGGCTTTGGCTGTAACCTCGAGGACTGGGTTTTGTGAGTCTTTTTGGTCGGCTTTGTGAGCCGTGGCCTTAGCCGGAAAATACCGCCTTGGTGGCCCATTCCTGACTCCTGCACGTGTGGGGTGGTGCTGGAGTCGGTGACCTGCTGACCTCCGAAGTCAGAGGCCGCGTTGGCCAGATTAGATTGCAGACGGCAGACAATCGCGCGGGCCCATTCAGGCGGCTGCGGGGGCTTGCCCGGCCAGCGGGGCGCCGGTGGTGGCGTACGTGACTGTGGCGGGGCAGGGCAAGCGGTCCGTGGGCGGGCGCAGGCGCGACCGGCGACACCGCACCGCGTGACGTAAGCCCGGGTGCCGAGCATGCCGTCGCGGCTCGGCGCGGTGTCACGTCAAGCGGCGCGGCCCGAGGCACCGGCGTGGCGTGCTCCGTCGCGGTGGGCTGACGACCCCTGTTGCCGGCTCCAGACGCATGTCAGTGTACGTATGCATCAGTGAAGCGCGCCACTGGCTCATTAGCTGCTCGGGTATTGTGTGCGCCTCTGCTTGCTGACGCGAGAGCTTATCGAGATCCGGTAGACATGTCCACGGCGTTATCAGCGCCCGAGCTTCGGCTGCGCGAGCTGACGACAGGGTAGTTAAGATACCCCGCTGTTGGCTGGGACCGGTGCTCTCGTCCCCCATCCCGTCACAGTACCGCACAGAGTCAAACGTTCCTCACTTGACACCCTGTATGTGGAGGCACAGGCTGTTCTGCATCTTGTTCAATACCCGCTGGATGTAAAGACCCATGCCGCGTTCGACGGTCTTCGCGGAACACAAGGCTTGACCGTCCCGAACTCACCGCTTTTGGCGGGAGACTGTCGCTGGATCGTCCACCACTCGACGGTCTATTCCGAGATGCAGAAACGAACGCATCCATAGCTGGTGACGCACTGTGCTCATGGCGCCGTTGTGATCCGCCTCCCCCCCCCCCCCCCCCCCCCACCCCATGTGCCCACCCTCGGCGTCCGCCGTTGGCCCCAGGCCGTCCCTGACCGCCCCAGGCCACCCCTAACCGTGCCCCGTCCGCCCGGCAGGTGCTCCTGGTGGACACGCACGTGCCGCGCGACACGCGCGCCCTGGTGCAGCGCGTGCGTGAGCGGCGCGCCGACGACCGCTTCGCCGGCGTGATCGAGCCCGTGCTGTGCGCCATGGACGCGCTGGCCGAGTCGGCGCGCGACGCGCTCACCGTCGGCGACGAGCCGGCGCTGGAGCGGCTGGTGCAGATGAACCAGGGCCTGCTCAGCACACTGGGCGTGTCGCACCCGGCGCTCGACGCCATCTGTCTGGTGGCCGCCCGCCACGGCCTGACGGCCAAGCTGACGGGCGCCGGCGGCGGCGGCTTCGCCATCGTGATGCTGCCGCTCGACACGCCGGACAAGAAGAAGGTTCAGATACAGGAGGATCTGGAGAAGGTGAGGGCCGTGCCGCCTCGGCGGAGGTCGCCAAAGGGGTGCGTGGGGGTCGGCTTTGGTTCGCGCTCACAGGCTGTTTTTCGCCTCTCCGCGGCGGAAGTGTTTTGGCCGCGTCAGCAGCGGCTCAGTAAAAAAGGCGGCGCACCGTAGCCCTCGTACCCGTGCTCCGTCACCCGGCTTTGATCTGATGGCCGATTTCCGGGCTGACGCGCTGAATTGGCTCCATTGGTGCCCGGTCATTGCGTCCTGCCCGGCAGAGGAAGGCCAGGGCCGTTGCGTGACATATCTGTGGGTTCGGAGGCGTCCACTGATGGGGAGTGAAGGTCGTCTGCGCCGGCGGTCTGTAACGTAAACCAATCCTTTAGTGGCTGGGTGGGCGCGCGTCGCCAGGCGGCGTGCTGACGACGCTCCCGGGGCTTAAGTGTTCGAAGCATGGGGCGTGGTCGTCGCTGGCGGCGTGCGCCTGTCCCCTTCCCGTGTCGGGCGGGTCGGAAGTGACGCCGCTGGCGGCAGCTTCTGGGGCCATCCTCGTACATCCCGCACGGCCCGGTCGTGCTGCAGACTGTGCGCGAACGCCTAGTGGGAGCTAATGGGAACTACTGGAGTACCGGTGGTGCGCCAGTACGTAGTTTGGCGGTACCGGGCGGGGGTTGGCGTATTCGCTGTCGTTTGTGCCGAAGGGCTCTAGCGATATGCACAGAGCATGCGCCGAGCACACGTGCCGTGCTCCCGGCCCCCGACCCGCTGCTGCGACACTGTGGTGGGACGGGGGACGAGAGCATCGGTCTCTGCCACGACCGGAGGGTTCGCTGTTTCCCTGCGACGCCCGCCTCGGCCGGGAGTGGCCGCTCCGTCTCCCCGTCTGACCGACGCTCCGCTCTGTTTCAGCTCGGCTACGGCGTCCGCAGCGTCGAGGTGGGCGGCCGGGGTGTCGTCGTGCAGAACCTGACGGCATGACAACCTGACTTGGGCCGGCATAGGTCGTCGCTGTAACTTATTCATGTATTTATTCGGTCGCAGGTTGTTCCCCACCCGAGACGCGCCTCTGTTTCCTGCTGTCCGATGCTTTATATGGGTGCAGAATACATTATAGTTTATCCGAACGCTGCCTTTCACCGGTGTGTTGTGTGGCGGCTGCGCGAGCGGAAAGATACGCCGTTTTCCCTGCGGCTGGCGACCGTACCACGGAGCATGACACATCTAACGGATTCCGACCGATGCCCCGGCGCGCCGCCCCATCTCCGGGCGTTCGCCGCTGATGGATCCGGAGCAGAATTTGCATGTGGCGCCGGATACGATCCCTGGTATGGGTGACCCTGACCCGGCGCCGTGTCGGCGGGCGGGGACACGGGGCTGGTCGGGGCGGCCCAGGCGGAGCGCCACCTCCGCGGGAACGCGAAATGTGCGGGGCAGCGGCGTGTCACAGAGAAAGTGAGACGCACACAAAAACGCCGGCGGAGGACGGGCGGCCAGCAGAACTGGGTCGTTATTAGCGGCGTCGGCTCGGCGGGAGGTGTGTAACACGCACTGTCGCCTCGGGCGCCGGGTTCGGAGAACCGACTCGACCCGGCTGACCGTGGCACAGGGGGCCGGACGGCGGTGGAATGGTGCCGCGCCGATGCTCCCGGGGCGTGTTGGCCAGGCCAACTCGGCACACTTCTTCTCACGGATTTTATGAAAGAGGCGCGCCGATGTTGCACGTGCTGCGACATGCGGCCGTCGCGTGCCGGCTTAACGACAAGCGTGATGTTTTGTCAGCTGAAATCCACAATTACTAGTCTTTTAAGGTATGGTGCTGCGTGCCATCACGGTACCTACTTACTTCACCCACAGCTGTAGCCAGCATGATCACGAACGTCGCAGCTGTCGCAACAAGACCCGTAAACTGCGCGGTGTGTCGGTTTTGAACCCGGCTCCCCACGCTCAGATGTGCTGTGCCAAGTACACCTCGTGAGCGGTCCGTATGCAGACGCCGTCGGGCGGAGCGTCGACCGTCCAGGCACATTGCTTGTTACTGCTGCCTGGCGCGAAACGGATTTTCCTGCCATGGTGTCACTGTAGGTGTCACTGGTGTCACACATATGGTGTCACTGTCGCAGCAAAGCCCGCGGCTGGGCCAGTCAGGTCAGTTCTGTAACATCATACGCACGCGTGTTGTCTGTTAAATAGACGGTGCATCTGACTGGCTTGGTCAATGGCTTCGTTGTGACACAGCCTATCATGACGGTGACAAAAATACAGTGCTGTGTGAGACAAAAACAGCAAACAAAATACAGGAATAATCAGAAGATCGACATCCAGTTGGCGCGCCATGTGTATGTTTCCGCTTGCCGCTGCGTTATGTTTCCACTTACGCTGCGGTAGATTTCCTCTTCCATAGGTGAGTCACGCGCTGGTATTGGTGGCTTGGAGCAGGCAAGCAGGCGCGTGCTCGAATGCGCTATCATGTGGTCAGGAGCGAGCAGACATTTACCGCCTCTCAGTGGCCGGAGACGTTCCTTGTCGTCAAATTCGTCTGTTTTATTACCCATATTCTGCGGTTGCTTTGGAACTATCAGCTGGTTTCAAAATGTGTAATGATGACTATTCCAGGGCTTATGGGCGTACAATCATCCGAGAATCTATTGCAATGCCTGCTTACCAGACTGAGTCTGTACCCCACTGTCAACAGCAGCGGGAGGTGCCATGTGCTGGTGGGCCGACATCGCACGTGACAGATTTAGCGACGACACGCCGTCACGACGTGCCGTGATCCTCCGTGGTTCCCGGTACCGCCTGCGCATCCGTGTACAAAGTCGGAGCATCCGTGGAAGTGCCGCACCGGTGGCACCACGCTAGCCAGTCGGGCGGCGCCGCTGCCGGCCGGCCGGCCGTGGTGTTTGTCGCCGCGGACAGGCGGGGTAGGGTGACGGCGCGGCGCGGCCCAGCCGGCCCTGAGCCGGCCGTCAGCCGCGCTGGCGGCCGTCGGCCTGTTTGTACCGGCTGCAGACGGTTTGATTGCGCCTCCATGTGTCGCGGCGCGACGGGCCGTCACCAGCCGTCACGCCCCGTATAAGAGCGCCGTTCCCCCATGGGGCGCCACCAGCCGGCGAGCACCGTGCCCAGGGCGACCCAACACAGCACAACATGAGGTAAGGCGAGAGGACCCGGCACGGCCGGCATCCGCAGGGCGCAGACGGGGGTCTCCGACCGGTCGAGTTCAGCCCGATCGTACCGCAAACCTTGTGTACTTCGCGATGTGTTTTGTGCAGCCAACATGGGTATGTTCGTTAACCGTTTCAACCTTGTGATGTTTGTGTAGTGTAATTCGTCCAGATGCACCCTCATGTGATTTTAAAGTCGCCGTAGTCGCCTTTTCTACCTCATCGTACTGCTCCTACAACAACGCCGGACAAGACCGTGCGATTTATGGCCACTTGAAATCTTGAGCCGATCCTGCCTCGCATTTTGCGCAGAACTATTCTTATATGTAAACTACCTGGGCTAGAACTGCAAGCGGGAGTGCTAGGATAGCAGGCGGGCGGGCTGGACGGGCGTGAGAGAGGGCTAGGACCACAAGCGAGAGTGCTAGGAGGGCAGGCGAGAGGCTAGGCGCGCAGGTGGGAGTGCTAGGACGGCAGGCGGGAGGGCTAGGAGGGCAGGCAGAAGGGCTAGAAGGGCAGGCGGGAGGATTGGAAGTGCAGGCGGGAGGGCTAGGAGTGCAGGTGGAAGGACTAGGAATGCAGGCGGGCGGGCTGGAAGGGCAGGTGGGAGAGCTAGGACCGCAGGCAGGAGTGCTTGGAGGGCAGGCGTGAGGGCTAGGAGGGCAGGCGTGAGGGCTAGGAGGGCAGGCGTGAGGGCTGGGAGGGCAGGCGGGAGGGCTAGGACGGCAGGCGGGAGTGTTAGGAGGGCAGGCGGGAGTTCAAGAAAGGCAGACGGGAGGACTAGGAGAGCAGGGGGAGGGCTAGGGAGCAGGTGGCGCGGATCCGTCTGCATGATAACGTCTCAAAAGGGCCCCCAAGAAGACGGTGGCTCGTCGGCTACAGTTCAGCTGACTCCGGCAGTTCCGCTGCTGCGTGGTTGCTTCCACCGCCATTGACGGATCCGCTGCTGAAGAACTGTTCCGCTGTTGGCACTGTGGACGATCCCGCTGCCGCAAGCTGCGCCGTCGCTGATGCTGTCGGTCTCGATGTCGCTGAGCTGCGTCTCTGCTTACGCCAGCGGTCGTGCTGTTCCAGAGCTCTCCCGCTGCTGGCGTTGGTGTCGCTGGCACTGTGTGCCAGCGCCACCTACATATCGCCGCGGGCGCTGGCCTACCGGCGGCCGGTGCGCTCGCTGATCGCGCCATCAGCCAATCCGCGACTCGGCTTCTCGTTCGTGGAGGCGCAGCTGGCCCGACGGCTGCTGCGCCAGCTGATCGGTGCGCGCTACCCGAATCCCCAGCTGGGCCTGCTGCAGCAGCTGGTCGGCGCGCAGCGGGCACCGCGCCTGGCAGGCCTGCTGCGGGGGCCGTACCGCCGCTTCGTAGAGCCCATCTACCCGGGGTTGCTACCCTACTACCTGTACAACCGCGGCGGGTGGGTAGCGCACTGGCGCATGGCCAGGGGCACTGTCAGAGCCTCTGTACCTTTACGACTGGGGTTGATGGGTGGCTGCAGCATGGATTCTGTGAATGTAAACCGACCACTACACCGGTGAACTGGATCAGGTGAAGCACAGAGTAGAAGTTAGGCACTGTATACCCTTTTATCTTTCCCACGGCCGTCACGCAGACCTGTGTCAAATCTGCACTTCTTACGTCATTAAATGCCGGCGGCATTGCTAAGTTGTTCCGTCCGGTGACGGGAGCTTAATGACTGATCACTGCCATGTTCTGTGATCTGTTGTGACGCGAGGGTCAACTCAGGTCAAACTTGTTCAGCCACGCGGTCCGATGCCTCTCTATCAGCTCCCTGTGTTCAGCCGCCGCAGCCAGCCAGGCTGAGTCCCTGTCGCCCAATGGCCCATATTGCTGCGCGGACAAGGAGAGGAGAGCCGCTCCAAGCGGCGTGTGTCCACTAACCAGAGCCATGGTGTAACCAACTGCTGCCTCTGACCTCCGACCCCTCAGGGCACGGCTGTTCTCGCGGAAGAAACGTCCTCCACCGCTGAGGCGTCTGACCCGCTGCGCGCGTGCAGCGGCCAGTTCATTCCGTTCCTCACGCGTA